CTGAGTAACACTCAAAATTATTTGGACAACAAGCAGGTCCCCTTTGCCAGAAACATTTCTTTGGGTTGAAGTGTAAATGGGCGTGAAGAAGAGAGTGAATACAAATGAATCCTTCAAGTACTTTGGATAGAAGAGAAAGAAGCCAATAGAAAGGCATAAATCTTGCTTTCTTTGACATTCTATAATCCTTATAGTCTAGACTAGTGATTCTCAATTTTGGCTACCTAGGAAATCACTAGGAAAGCTCTAAAAAATAAAGATGCATGGGACCTTTTCTCAGAGATTTCAATTTAATAGGTCTAGCCTATGGCATGGGTTCCCCAGGGGATTTCAATGCAAAGCCGAGATTCCATTTTCTTTCATCTTCTCCCCCGAGTAGAGTTAAATTCCTTATCAATAATAGCTCCACATATATGCATGAGATATGCTGGGCACAAAGTAGGAGCTTAATAAACAGTTGCTGATAAATGGACACAGAAACATTTCTGGGAGATTCAGGATGTGTCCTTACGGTTAGGGATTTCTTTTTCATAGGTTTGATTATGGTCCAGATTCAGAGAGGACCATCCAGGAATGAGGGCACCTTGGTCCAAGGCTCCACTGGGGCACTGGGTGGCTTATATCATCCTTTCGAAATCTAAGTCACCTGCCAGTTGGTCTACGGCATATCCTCTTGGGAATGAAAAATAGGTGAGATGAAATCTTCCTGCAGTCAATAGCATAACTTACAAGTCCAAAGAGGAAAACTCTGTTATACTATTGGAATGTCAGTTGTGGTTACTGAAATTATTTCAATGATGACATCTGAGATTGGTTAGTGGTAATAGTCACCCAATTTGAAATAAGTAGAGGAAATAAACAGTGCTTTATACTTGTACATGCTTATAACATATTACATGTTTTACATATTCTCAGGCCTTACAAAAACCATGCCAATTGGGTACTAGCATCACTATTTTAGAGATGAGGAAGTTGAGGCTTGGAGATGTTAGGCAATTTTTTAGGCAAGTTGCCTTGTCATATTAGGCAACTTGGTTACCAGGAATTTTTCTTTATATTCAATAGTCTCTGTCAAGCACTTAGAAAATAAATTAGGCTGTGATCTTTCTGGAATAGTTAGTGGAAAGATAGAGGGGTGAAGTATATCAGTGGCTTTCAAAATTTTTCAATTCAACTAACTTCATAAAAAATAAAACCACGATTACATTAAACTACATTACTACTTGTGCTAACAGGAATTTGCTCTGAGGAAATTGTACTGGGATACCCAAAGTCCAAGATAGTGTTCATAGATAGGGGTATTACCAGTAATTGTCTGATCTCAGATGAGTCACTTCCTTTCTCTGGGGCTCAATTTTCTAAAGAGTGAGACAGAAAAGGATATTAAAATAATCTTTGAAGTCTATAGACCCTTTATGAATCTGATATGAGCTATGAATTCTTTCCCTAGATGATGCATGTACACAGGTACATGTACAGCTTTGATTGTTAGTTCTGATTGTTCACAGATTTTCCAAAAACCATTCATGGGCCTCCAAAGAATATATTGACCCTTGATTAAAAGCACCTGGAATATGTGCTAATGGGATCATAGTCATGTTTACAAAAAGAATCTTATCTTTTAGAGATGTAACTTGATAGTATATTCATGTGTGAAATTATTTCATGTCTGGAATTTGCTTTAAAATGATCCAGCGTGTAGAGGAAAGGGTGATGGTGGTGGTGGTGGTGGGGGTAATATTGTCCATGAATTGATAATTAGTAAAGCTGGGAGATTAGGTTCATGACAGTATTTTGTACTGTTTTCTCTACTTTCGTATATACTGAAATTTTCCATAATAAAATAATTTTCACAATAAAAATGATCAGTAATTTTAAAAAACCTGGTATAGAGGATCTCTAATGTCTCCAATTCTAATATTCTATGATTTAGTATTTCAAAGAATCTGCAAAGAATATGGATTTCTGGTAACATTTTATGTGCTCAGGGCACTGGATCATCATTTTTCTCTTAATGGACCCTCTGAGCTAGAGAGCCTATTGTGGCTCCTTTTTCCAGATGATTCTGTGATATTCCATTTAATTTCTTCCACAAATATACTTTTGGGGAAAGAGTAGCAAAGCCAAATGTAAAAGAAGCTGGAGAAGAACTGGACATTAGACATTTCACATGATAATGTGGCTCAATTTATTTTCAAAGATTTCTTAAGATGAGAAAACCCAAACAATATTGCAAATGATGTTTAGTAGCATGTAAAATACTCAGGATGTCAGGCGAAAAGGGGGTATAACAGGGTATGTAAAGCAGTACGTAAGCATAAAAGATAATTGCACGGAGGTTGAGAGCTTGGTCTCAGACCCTGCTGCCTCGGTCCCTGTCCTGTGTCACTTAACTAGCTACGTGGTCTTGGGTAGGTCATCTAACCTTTCTCAGCTTCCACTTACCTATCCATAAAGTGGAAGTAATAACAGAATTTTCTATTGCAAAGATTAAGATTGTGCCTGACTTACAGTAAGCATTCAGTAGATACTCACTATTGCTCTCTCAACTATATAAATATAAATACAGATTAAAAAAAAGATGTAAGGTATAGATCAAAATGCTATCAGGAGTTGCCTCTAGATTGTGAAACAATGGGTGATTTTGTTTTCTTTTTGTCCTTTTCATCTGGACTTTTCAAATATCTACAACGAGTATTTGCTACTCTTATAATCAGAGAAAAAAAATTTTTTTTTTTTTTTGAAAAAGTAATTCTGAAAGTCTTCCTGAAAAAGTTTTAATGACTAGAGGGGCCTGACCCATTTTTGTCCCATGAGGTATTTTACAAACAAGACATCTTCACAAACGAGTGAGATGGAATGATTACCATTGTCTTGTTCCCATTTTCCTTAGCAGGCTCTCACGTTTATTGTAGAAGATCCATGTAAATGAGCTTTAACATGTGGCCTTCCTGGGATAGGATAAATAGAGCTTTCCTCACATGTTTCATACCATTCTGCTCCCTTACCACATGTCCCCCGACACCACCAGGTTAGCCCTTTTTAGAGGCACGGATCCCTTTGAGAATATCATGAATGCTACGCCAAGAAAATCTCACATTCAGGCGCACTATTTTGCAGTGAATTTCCTAGGGTTCATGGGCCCCCATAGCTCATCTCCAGTGATTAAGAACACTGAGGCCATGGCAACAAATTTAGGAATGTATAAACACACATCAGGTGTGTAGACCACTTTATGAAAAATTGACTTGCACAAATCCGAAACCACAAGCCAGATAAACTGGTGGATAATTACGGGCATTACATACGAGGTTGCGCTTTGCCAAATAATTTACATTAGGACATCTATAAATAGCAAATCCATACAGTGTGTTTGAACCATGCTGCTGTTTATCCAAATGCTAAGCTCTTTCCAGAACACACCTACTGCAGAGCAACAGGCCCAGTTCAAAAAGTTTAATACCAGCTTCACTCTTGAGATTATAGCTACATTCATTTACAGAATTCTAGGCTGCCTTTGAAATGGCCACAAAGCCATATTGCTTTGGGTGGTCAATGGCAGACAACGATGAGACAACCGGAAACTTGCAGGTGGCAGAGATATGATGCACGTGCGTGGGATGTGAGATTGCTCTGGGGTGGATTGGCAGAGGTGAGATGGATTCCAGCTCCTTAACTCAGAAAGAAAAAGGATCAACACTGAGTCCTTAACCTGTGCCAGGATGGACATTAGGGCATCTCATGTATTCCTCACAATGATTCTGGGAGGTGGGGGCTTTTGCCCTCATTTCCAACTCAGCTTTAGAAAGTTTGACGCATATACCCCAGGTCTGGAGACTGGTAATTAACAGAAAAAAAAAATTAAAATAAAATGCAAAGCTTTCTGTCTTAGATTCCCATCATTGACAGTGGACTTCAGGAAGGCAGGACATGCTCAGTCCCCAGCATCACACCAAATCCCCAGAGCCACTTAGGCTGTGATTCTGATCCTGCTGATTTTGTCAAGGGCTTCCCAGGATGTGGGTGAAGGGGACCAGGATTGCATCTTCCCTTGCCTCATCTGACCTGCCCTCCAAACAGGCATCCCCCTCTCCTTCCCTACACACTACACAGGGACTGCCTCGCATTCCAAAAATGCCTGGGAACTCACAAGGAAATCAAAGAGTCAGGAGCCCTGCACTTAAAAGAATCCATATGACTCCAAACTCCATCTTAGGGTTTTCACTGCTAGTGGAGTTGCCTTTTGGTATTGCACTGCTACCAGCCACATTTTACTTGATCCTCTTCCAAGATTTCCAAACATGCTTGTGGCACCCAGGAGAGTTTCAGAAGAAGTGTTAGAGTGACAGGAGAAGTGCTGAGGGGTTGGTTTTGCGTATGGGTGCTAGTGTAACTTTCATAAAAGCAAGTGTAAGTTCTTCAGAGTATTAACTTCCACAGGGGCATCAACTTTTAGGCAAATGCAGTTATTTCCCTTTGCCTAGGCTTATTATTATTACTATTTTTTAACAAGAGGTATCTGAAGTTAGGGGTGAACCCTGTTAAGCAAAAGGTCTCTGGGACCCTTGGGATACGGATTCCCTTCGCTGACCCAGTGCCCAAGCTTTTCGGGAGGATTAGCCCTCCCCTGTCTCCATCCCTCACCCTTCAGAAACCGCCTAATACCTGCACGCGCTTTGGGCACAAGCAGGTTCAAAGCAAAGAACGATTAAGCCGCCACCCCGCAAGAAACCTATTCCTGAACCCAGAGTCAACAGGAATTGTGTGTGTGTTTGTGTCGGAGAGAAGGCTGGGTCCACAGGGACGTGGTCCAGCATCGTTAGCAGCGGGTCCTGCTGGACGTTCAGGTCTCCAGGGAGGGACAGTCCTTGAGCCCCGGCCGAACTAGGGACACGTCTCGGCCCCGGGCGCCAGCGCCAGATCAGGAGAGACAAAGGTGGACAGAGAGAGGAGAGAGGGAGAGCGAGTCTGTGTGCTCTCGGGGCAAGTGTGCGCGGTACCTTGGATTCCTGGCTGCTGGTGGATGCAGGAGAGGGCGGCTGCTCGGCGCTGGCCGCCTCCTTGGGCAGCCCGTCCACGCCGTCCTCCCGGGCGCCGCTCGGAGGGATCATCGTGGCCGCGCGGGAACGGTGTTGGGCTCCCGGAGGAACAGCAAGGCTGCCTTCCTCCGGCGCGCCCTGCCCGCACGCGCTGGGTCGCTCAGCTCCGGGTCCCGGGGATCGCCATCCCCGCGGAGGCGCCGACGTGCCCTCCTCCGGCCGGCCGCCACCCCGCCCGGCCCTGCCCACCTCCCCGGCACTTCCGCGGGCTGCGGGGAGAGCGCGCCCTGCTCCGCCCCGCCGCGCCCGCGGCCACCTCGCCGGCGACCTCGCAGTCGTGACTGCCACCCGGCAGTGGGCGAGCGGGCTCCAGCTCGCCCGCCCAAGGAGGAGGAGGCGGAGAGGCAGCTCGGGGCGGGGCTGCGCGGCCAACGCCAGGAGTAGCGAGGGCAGCGGGAGGCAGCACCCAGGAGAGCGCAGGGGGAGGCTAGGCGCGCACCGGCACCGGTCCCGGCCATTCTTCAGGGAGGGTGGTGAAAATTCAGACCAAATCCGAATGCACAGAAAACCCATGAATTCTACAGCCAGGAAGGACCACCTGCAGCAACTCCCTCATTCCTCATCCCAAGAAACAGTGACTCTGAGAGAGAGATAGTGACTTAGCTAAGCTATTAATAGGGTTCCCAGTGACAGAGATCAGAGATCAGAATGGGGGTCCCCTGAATCCTGGGCCCTGAGATTCCTACATTCAGCTTTGATCTAAAGCAGACGGGTAACGCACTGTATGTCTGGACACCTGTTCCTCATTTGTCCTGCATGGATTATGCTGAGCCTTTTACGCTTTTTACCTTATTTAATAGTCACAGCCACCCAACGCGTCTAGGTACTATCGCTTCTATTTTATGGATGAGGAAACTGGGGTTTTAGGACGGCTAAGTGATCTTTAAGTCGCTACACTATAATTTGTGGAACTGGGATTTGAAACCATTTTGGCTTCAAAATCCTTGCTTTTCGCACTGGAGCCTCAACTCTAGGCCAGGACCTAGAAGCTAAAGAACAATTGGAAGTTGCAGTACAGCAAGGAATTCGGGACTGTTCACAGAGGGGCAAACCAAAAGATTATTAAATCTTTTGGAAACAGAGAGTTAGCCCTGGTGGACAAAGGCACAGAAGGGTCCAGTTGCTTTAGAAGATACAACCTTAGTGTGCAGGTGAAGGAAATAAACCTAGATATTTAAAAGCTTCTTTTTACCCATTAATGCAAATCTCCTTCCTTAATATTTTAGCAGAAAATTGTGAGCATATGGTTAGATTTTCTTAATTAACTGTAGATGTTTGCAAGACTAACTTCAAAGGTGTGCAACCTATGCGGTTGCACGGGGCCCTGCACTTGGTTTAATGCTCTGATGTTGTCGTCTTGAACTACTTCTTAAAAAGTTTTTAACAACCGGCTGCATTTTCCTTTTGCACTTGGCCCTGCAAATTATGTATCTGGTCTTGCAGGCTTACTTTAGCTCATGTCCTTTGGAAAGAACTTATTACTCTTTGCATTCCAGACATCAATTGAAAGTTCCTGTTCTAAGTGTCAGCCTCTTACTCAGCATTTGGTGCTCAGAATGCTCCGAATTCCCTAGTGACTCTCAGCCTCTCATTTGACCAGCCAGGTTGGCTAGCTCAAACGGCCACAAGCTTTTTTTCCTCCTTAAAACACAATTCCTGGTTGCTCAATAGAAACAAAATTCTAGCAGGCAAAGTCACAACAGTAGCAAGCACAAGGCAGGGGCAGCAGTATCAATGCATTTTATCAAGCCCCTATTCTGTAGCAGACCTTATGCTAGAAACTAAGGATACAGCAGAGAGAAAACAGAGTGTCTGTTTTCCTGGAACTTGAGTCTGGTGAGAGAGACAGAGGTTAATCAAATCATGCACACATACACATACACATACACACACATTTTTAACAGACTATGATAAGGAAAAGTGTAGGTCTTGAATGAGTGTGTACAAATGTGAGGCCTGAACTAGCATGGGGCCAGAGAAGTGTTTTCTTGGGAAGTAAAACTCCCAGGGTTTACTGGCAATTCCAAGTTTGGTGAGCAAACATACCATGGCCAACAAGAAATGTTTCATTTTTGGACTTTATTTTTTTAAGAATTGAATATTTCACCCTTCATTTTAGTATGTGCTTAGCTACAATTAGCAATAGTATTATCCAATAGTATAAGTTCAAATGTCGTCCCCTGAAGGAACATTTAAAGAAGATAGTACCTCCCTCCTTGTCACCTAACCCTTGTTCCAGTAACGGAAATACTTAATATGATAAATAAGAGATATCTTTCCTAGGAAATTGTGGAACTACCCTTGGTTTTCCAAACTAAATCAAGGTTTGTTTTATGTGTTTTTTTTTCAACAAATAAGTTCTTTTCCATCCTATCTTGTGTTATTTAGTTAATTTCTCTTATTCTTCAAAATACATCTCTGAGCATTTATTACTCTTGAAATCTTCCTTGACCTATTTATCTGATTTAGATATCCATATTAATACCATGTTTTTATGGCATCTTTTCTTAAATAATCAGTAATTAACAAGATGGTGAAAAGAAGTTGCCCTTGTAGCTCCCCAGGCTCTAAGATGGTCTAGTCGTTAGTTGCTCCAAGTGTCCTCCACACACTGACTAGAGAAAGATCTTGAAAGCTTCTTGGAAATAGTGGTATTTGAAATCAAATAAGCACCACCTCAATATTGAAGATTTTGTCCTTATTGGCTTAAAAGAGGATATTAAAATGAGAGTCCTGTCTATCTGTGAATGTGTGGCTCCTTGATCTGCATGCAGGTAAGTGGTCTGGAAAAGGGATGTTAGGTTCACAGCTCACCTCTGGAAGGAGGTGTGGAGGTGAGCAGAATCCTTCTTTGTCTGAGTCTGTGGGGAGAGGGCTACTGGCAGAAATGGGAGGCACTATATTTGAGGCTTGGGTCACAGGTATTGCTGGTTTTGGTCCTAGATGAGCATATCTGAGTCCAAGTCATGGAATGATGAGTGCTCTCCTATGTTGTCACAAAACCCAGCCCTGGACTTGGTACTGAAAGGACATTGGTATATTGCTGGCAATGCCCAGAGGACAGTGGAGAGAACCGATAGTGTCACATACTGGGGGTTGGCTTCAGTGGATGGTAGTCAAGCAAAGCGAGTCTCAGAAGATATCCAATGAAGCACTGATGTCCCTGAGCAAGAGTATACTTTTTCATGGCCATCTGTGAGATACCCCCTCAGACTCCCAGAAATATAGCAGTGACACTTCACAGAAGACTAGAGGTCCTGCATTAGATGCTGTGGTGACATTTTAGCTATGGCTATCAAGATGACCTCCTTTCTTCTGCAGGCTGGTAAAACCTGGGGAACAAAGGTTGCAAATAATTATTCTCAGTCTCAGGTCTGTAACAGGACTTTGTGATTTTTGTCGATTCCCTTCATGGTCCATTTCACTCTGATTGCTGCGTAAATAATCAGGCCAGCAGAAGTGTGAGGTGTACAAAAATTTATCTCCACAAACTTGAGCTGGAAGCTCCCATTCCTGGTTCAGTTACTCATTCATTAATTTGTAAGTAGGCAAAGCCCTCTTCCTGATCAAATCCAATTGCCTTTCGCAGTAAACACTGTTGAGCGGAAGAGTGTGTAATGCTTTCGTCCTTCTCCCATTTCTCTACTCTGAGTTTCGATAAAGATACTGGTTTTTTGTCCTATGGACTTTGGCTGCTTCTAGAGCCATTATGTAAAAAGATACAAGTAAGATTCCTTAAATACAGTGGCCATACTTATGAAGGGTACAAAAAAGAACAGCAAGGAAAAGGAAGAGGGAGATAATCAGAATGTCCGAAGGATGGAGTATGACAAGAATAAAGGAGAGAGGGTCTCAAGGAAGGGCTGGCTGTCCATGTCTGATGCAACAGAGTCATTGTGGATAGTCAGCTATATGAGAAGGACTTAGGATTGCTGATAATAATAATTGCTAACATGCATTTGGCTTCTAATATTTGTAAACATTTTGTATATTTTATTTCGTTCAATCCCTACAAAATCTTAGCAAGGTAAGGAAAATGATCCTAGGTTCCACAGTGAGTGTGGGAACAAGGACTTGAACTCAAATATAACCTGCTCCTGGGCCAAGTTTTGGCCACTCTGCTATGCTGCCACCTAGACAACAGCAGAACCCCGATCTGCTGAAAAGGCAGCAGGCCTCAAAGGGAAGGAGCAAGGCAAATTGAGAGCCATAGAAATAATAGAAGATATAGGGAGAGTACTCAAATAATGAAGTAAATAATGAGCAGTTCTACACTTTGAAGGTGATAGCCAAGAAGTCAAGACAAAACTAGGCAGCAGGCATCAGCCATTAGTGTCACTTGTTACCCTCCAGCTACCTTGCCTGGTGGACCTGCCTTCTATTCTAGAGAAACCAAATGCTTTGCTCACAGTCGCACAGCTAACAACACCAACAAGTCTCCTACTTTGAGCAACTGTTAAAGCTAGGCTTCAGTGCTCGTAGCCACTCATGACTGGTCTTTCCTTATTATCAAAGCTAATGATTTAATGTGGAGACACATATTTTTAGGGCAAATGAGCTCTAGCTTAAGTATCCTTAACTTGTGTTTTTTTCTCAGTGCCAATAACATGGTAATAATAATAATAATAATCATAATACCAACAACAATAATAGTCAATCACATTGCATAGCATTGTTTGACTGCATTAGGATTATCCCCACTGGATATTCCCAGAAAAGGGTAGGAGTACGAGACCCAAGACTTACACAGTTGCCTACCTTCCAGATTAAGATTTGTCTCTCTTCTCAGGCAAACGCATGCTTGCTTCTAGGTGGTTATAACTTCTTTGAGATAGGGGGAAGCTGGAATCTTTATTCTATATTTAGGGGAAAGGCCATGAACCTACAATCCAAATATCCTAGCTCTTTTGCTTAAAGGCAGCAAGATCTCAGACAGTTGATTTTATCTCTCTCAGCCTCATTTTCCTCAAGTTCTACAATAGGGTAATAATCCCTACTTAATAGGGTTTCTGTGAGGATTAATGTCTGATATCATTATCATCAGCAGCAGCCGTATGATTTTGGGCAAATATACTTGGTTTGAGTTGGGTTTACTGTTCATTACAGCCAAATATGCGTACAATGTTTAAAATAGATATATTCTACATTTTAAAAA